GTTCCTTATAAAATGTAGGTATTGACACCTCTTGCCGTGCAACAGCAAGTCTACACTTCAGCACAAGTCTCACACCCGAGATGCACACAAACATGGGCGGCTATGGCCGTCACCACTTTCAACAGATATGTCTCTGTCCCCATCTCTCTATACCTATACCACTCTCAGGTTACTCTCGCACTCTGAATGTCGTCCTCTTCACTCCGTAACAACGGAGCTATTGACTGCAGACTACTTCCAACCTCACTTGCGGCTTGACGGATAAGACGGCACCAGCGCTTCCACGACATGGGCGGATGCAGACTGTGTTGACGCTTTGCACCCCTGGACTTTTGTACTTGCGGCAGTTTTTCAATTTTTGACTTCTTGGGACTGGTACCTTCCTTCGGGTTCCAATGCATCTGGAGTGTTTGTGGGCTTTGGTGGCACTGAGCTGCAACTGCAATGACATATCGACAGGCCATTAATGATCTGGGCCTATGGTGTTACCTAACCTACTGGACCTACGGCACAGACGAGCCCTATGGGACCTACCAGATTGGACTATGGCACACAAGACTCCATGACTTGGTACCAGATCAGGGGCTTGGACGCTGAGGCGTGTGAAATCCTTTCACTCCCGTCGGCCTCAAGTCGAGATAGCCGGGATTCTTATCACCTACCTACAATGTGAATCCCTCTCTGAACCTGCTAGTAGTGAAAGCCTATCCTAGGGGCGGTCTTCATTAGTCCGTTCTTAGGAAACCGTTGATCTTCCTCTGGTCCCTGAAACTGCCGACGAACTTTGACTTGCTATTGTGGTTCTCTGCCTGATTGGTGTGTGTCATGTGGAACTATTCTGTCAATGTCATATCTGCCACACATATAGTCTGGGTGGGTTTGCGGATCAGGGGTATGCTCAGATGGCTCGCGTTCTCCTTGTGCAGAGAGGATTAATGGACTCCATAATAGTCCATATGCCTCATGTTGCTTCCCATGAGTTTATGGCGCTGCTACACATGATGATTATTTGTGTTGTAGTGCAGGCAGCTTCCACCCATGCGGGACTGCCAGGTTTGTTTAGTGATCTTAAGGTTACTCCTATGCGGGTCTCACGTGACGCTCCCACGTGAGACCCGCCTTCCAGTGTCAGGAACGTTTTTTGCTGGGCCCTTCAACGGTGCGCAGCTCTTCGTTTTATTTTTTTGATCCACTCCCGCGCGACGTGCACAAAAGACAAAATAGTAGATTCAATATTGTCCTTTTTCTTTTCCTTTATGGGGATGCGGGCGGTCCGAACTTTCCCGAATGGTCGGTCCAGCATCGCGGGCAGGGAGAGCTGGTAGCGCCGGGGGGTAGAGGTCGGGCAGGGAGAGCTGGCAGCCCGGGGGGGTACAGGTGGGGCGAATTCGTACCATTTGTGCAGCAGATTCATTCCAATTTGAAGGGGAGGGGGGGGGTTAGGAGGGGTGAGATGACGAGCGGAGGAGGGGAAGGAGGAGGAACGGGAGGACAATGAACAAGCTCTGCTCGGCATGGAGGAGGGGAGGGATGGGGAGGATGGCGAGCAGGAAGACAAAAAAAATATGCCCGTGTATCTCCCCATGTTCCAGTGGAAGATTCTTTCCACTTTGCATGGAAGGGGGGAAGGGGGAAGGATGACAAGCGGGAGGAGGGGAGCGGGAGGAGGGCAAGGAGGAGGAATGAGAGGACGATGAACAGGCCCCGCTAGAGGAGGAACGAGAGGATGGCGAACTGGTGGAGAACGGGTGGGATGACGAGTGGGAGGAGGGGAAGGAGGAGGATGGGGAGGATGACAAG